AAATGTTCCCATCAGTACTTGCACTGGAGTTTAAATATGACAACCTGCGGGCCAGAGTCTGCCATTGATGTTTACTTCAAGCCTGGCTGCATCCGACAGCCGATAGCCAGCTTCATATCAGGGCCCTTAAGTACAAGTTCATTTTTCAAGAGATCTTTTTGAGAAGATCAGATATAGGATAATCCACATGCATGGAGAAGGGAAAAGTTAAAGTGTGAGTTCTTAAAACAGGAGTTCTAAAATTGATTAAATCAGATACAGAGATTTTTTTCTTAAATTGTAAGAAGCAGAAAATGCAACCAACTTTGAAACTACTTGGAAGATGCTGAAAGCAAGTCTCCTGAAAATAATGACAGCTATAACAAAGACAAAAGGTGGGCACACTGCTTGTGATATTTAGTAATTTAGGCTGTAAAATTGTTGGTTAAATAAATGATTTTTGCTTGTTGTTTTGTAGCACTGAAAAATGGATACCTTGTATTTAATGATAATGTTGCATCGGAAATTAAATAAAATTAAAAAAATGTAAAAAATTAAATAAAATGAAGGGCAATTTCTAGCTTTTTCACATTACTGTACACTTCTCTGTCTCCAATTGAGCCCAGTAGAGCAGTGATAGCCTTTCTGTATTGGCTTTCTGACTGACTTTGCCACGACTTTCTACCCTTGAAAGTTCATCTAAGCAAAGCATAAAAGATGCATCGCTGAACTACATCTTACCTCTGTCAGAGGATATGACTTTCCTACCCAACTTAAAGGCTTAGCTGATGCTTTCAAAAGCACACAACTTTTTTCATCAGTGAGAGAAATGGTCACGTCAAAAGCTCTTAACAAAATCCAGAGCTGCTGTTGAAAACCCTTTTCATTTCTGCATTGAACGCATTTGTTAAATCGCTTACAGTCATCATCCACTTAACCTTTCTTCTTCAAACACAATAATCACAATAGGCGTAGGAGCACAGAGATACAGCTGGAAAGTCCTGAATATCTTCATGATGACTAGCAAGCTCTGGGCTATTTTGTCCAATATGAAAATGACAGTTCATAGCTACAGGCAACTCATCATGTGTTCATATGTATGCACGCAAACACCAACGTAAACACATTCTAACTGTCCTAAAAGCGAGGCGAGTCCTAACATGACTGTAATATCTGACTCGAGGAGTGAGGTTTCCACCAGATTTGCATCCACTCTAGTCTTACAGTAAACAAGTAAAGCGTTTTTAATTGACTTTTTATTTATTTAACTGTTTATTTGAACAACCCACTTCTTTTAAACATTCAGAACCCATTTGATGGTTGAAATGAGGTTTAATCTCAATTAGGCCACTATAACCCATTTATCAAAATACATTTAAAACTAAGTCCATATTTAAAGGCCCTATAACTGATTTATGACCTGAAATAGAAGAGTTGAAATGAATGGCTGAATGCTGAGAAAATTCTAATCTAATTGCCGCAACTCACATACGTATTAGCACACAGATTAGCAACCTCTTAGGATACCATAGCACTGGCATGGTAATGCCTTAGCAACCACCTGGGATACTATAGCCTAAAAACACCTTAGCAGCCACCAGGGATTCTATGGCCTAGCAATGACCTAGCAACACCTTAGCAACCACCTGGGATAACAGTAACATTTTAGCAACCACCTGGGATTCCATAATAACAGCTTTCTCAAGCCAACTTGATTCAAATTTCTTCTAATTAACATAAACAGTATTTTACTGTGTGAAAAACACTGAATTATAAAAGAGTTACTTCCACATGTGAATATAAAGAGCAATAAAACATCTTTCTCAAGATATAGCATCATGTTTACCACATATTTGCAGCCTATTACAACTTTATAACATATTTGTCAGGTTTTTATGTCCTATTCTATTGCTATTTTTATTTTGAACTTGATAAATGATCTGCCAGTTGTCTAAAAGACTGCTAAAATGTCAGACTTGCTGAAATAGCAGAAAAAAGAGCCTGTGCAGATGAAATGCAGTCTACTATATACCAGCAAAATGACCACTATGGTCTTTCATACTAGCATTCAAAATGTTATTTGTCATGGTATGTATTCTGCAGGGCAGCACTGCATCCCTCAACCTCATACGTTTGACAGAATTCATGATTTTGTATCCTCTTTGTGTTTATGTTCAGTGTTCTTTCACTACAATTCCCAGCATGCATTACACAAGTACGTCATACGAGTAGTTTTAACCCCCCACACTGCAATAAAGAAGTCCACTAATGTACCACAGTGGCTATTAAATACAGATGTGATATCTGACTTCCTTCCAGATTTGCCAGCTAGTAAAAAACTTCAAACAGCCAGCCCACAGAAATCCACCAAGCAGTTGTATTTTTTTTTTTTTTTCAAAATTTCATCCACCTTCAAGATACATCATCAGAAGGTGGTTTTCCTAGTCTTTAAACTGGAAAACCTCATTCCTGAGTCTAATGTTTAACCACTGTAGGAGGCAAGTAGGCATGTTTACAACAGATGCCGCAACTGTTACATTTTTCATTTTTGCCGGCGCAGAAAAAGGCACAGAAACAAAAGCAGCATGTTTGGTACGCACTTGGTTGATGGTCCTTCAAGGGTCCTTTGGTGAGACAAGTTTATTTATATAGCACCTTTCACAAACTGCAGCCATTCCACGTGCTTTACAAATAAGAAAATACAAAGAAAATTCTAATTAAAATTTAAAAAGAGTCAAGGCACTGGTTCTATTTAGAACCATGAGTTATATATAGAACAATTTTATGCTTGAATGATTCTTTGCATGGTGAAATCGTTCTTCAGATTGATGGAGAATGTATTGTATGTGGTTCTATATAGAACCCTTTTGAGTTCTATATAGCTCCAAAAAGCGTTCTTCTATTGTTACAAGCATTGTCATTGTAACAATAGCAGAAGTCTTTTTAGTGTTATATGGAACCATTCTGGCGCAGTGGGTAGCGCTGTCGCCTCACAGCAAGAAGGGCCTGGGTTCAATTCCCGGCCGGGTGACCAGGGGTCCTTTCTGTGTGGAGTTTGCATGTTCTCCCCGTGTCTGTGTGAGTTTCCTCCGGGTACTCCGGTTTCCTCCCACAGTCCAAAGACATGCAGTCAGGCCAATTGGACGTGCTAAATTGCCCCTAGGTGTGAGTGTGTATGTGTATGTCTGTCTGTCTGTCTGTCTGCCCTGCAATGGATTGGCGACCTGTCCAGGGTGTATCCTGCCTTCTGCCCTATGACAGCTGGGATAGGCTCCAGCACCCCACCGCAACCCAGAAGGATAAGCGGTTTAGATGATGGATGGATGGATGATGGATGGAACCATTCATAAAAATGTTCTGTGTGGAACCATGTACAATAATTCTCCATCAATCTGAAGAACCATTTCAGAATCATTGAAATACATCAAGTCAAGGCACTGGTTCTATTTAGAACCATGAGTTATATATAGAACCATTTGCATGTTTAAATGGTTCTTTGCATGGTGAAATGGTTCTTCAGATTGATGGGGAATGTATTGTATTTGGTTCTATATAAAACCATTTTGAGAATGGTCGTATATAGCACCAGAAAAGATTCTGCCATTGTTACAAGTTTTGACATTATAATAATAGCAGAACCCTTTTATGGTGCTATACAGAACCACTCTCAAAAAGGTTATCAAAATGTTCTATATAGAACCATGTACAACAGTTCTCCATCAATCTGAAGAACCATTTTAGAACCATTGAAATATATCAAGTCTAGGCACTGGTCCAATTTAGAACCTTAAGATCTATAGAACCATTTCATGCTTAAATGGTTGTTTGCATGGTGAAATGGTTCTTCAGATTGATGGTGATCGATTCAATATATAGAACCATTGTAAATGGTTCCATATATTTACCGTGGTTAATTTACAATGGTTCTCCATCAATCTGAAGAACTATTTCAGAACTATAGAAATGTATCAAGTCAAAGCACTGGTTCTACTTAGAACCATGAGTTCTATATAGAACTATTTCAGAAATGGTTCTTTGATGGTGAAATGGTTCTTCAGATTGTTGGAGAATGTATAGTATGTAGTTCTTTGATTGTTACAAGCATTGACATTGTAATAATAGCAGAACTCTTTTAGGTACTATGTAAAGCCACTCTCAAAAAGGTTCTTAAAAATATTTTAAATAGAACAATGTACAACGATTCTCCATCAATCTAAAGAACCATTTCAGAACTACTGAAATGTATTAAGTCAAGGCACTAGTTCTATTTAGAACCATTATACACCTAAATGGTTCTTTGGATGGTGAAATCATTCTTCAGACTGATTTAGAATGTATTGCATACGGTTCTATATGGAACCTGTATGAGATTGGTTCTATATAGCACCAAAAAGTGTTCTTTAGTTGTTACAAGCATTGACATTGCAATAATAGCATAACACTTTTTGGCACTATATAGAACCATTCTCAAAAAGGTTCTCAAAAATGTTCTATACAGAAACATGTACAATGAACCATGTCAGAAATGTTTCCATTTCACAATGTTTCTAAATAACACAGAACAATTGAAGAACCTTCTTTTTAAAGCATAGTAGAAACTGGTCATGAACAAAATGAATTATGGCTGCTTTTCTTACATAAAATAACAGACATCATAAGTGGACAAGTATAGAATATGGACTCGTTAAAGTGACCAAAGTGAGTTTAAACTGAGACACTATTGACCAGTTTTAAAAAGTTTTAAACTAAGTTTTGAGAACCGTTGGAATTCGACATCGCGCGTTGATAGAGCCGTTCGCGCGAAACATCAAAGCCAAAGGTGGAACGAGCGACAGTAAACAGCAGAGCAGACCAAAGCGGCGCGAGGGCGAGACACGCCGCCTCACTTCAAAGGCATCAAAAAGCGCAAGTCACGACAGTTCCACCGACAGGAGGAAGAGCTTGTTCTTTTTCCCCGTGGCTGCGCGCGAAGGGACAGCAGTCGCCTCTGATGCGCTCGAGCTGGCTGGACGCGCGGCTTCATGCGGCCAAAGCGCCTTGGTCTTCTCTCGGTTTCACTTCGGACGGGGCGACTTACTTTCCTTAACATGCGCGAGAAGGGGCTTTTCGGCGCTGCGGTGTTGCTCGCGACCCTGCTCTGCTCGGGGAGGTCTCGAGGACACGGGTTCGAGCACTCCGCCGCCTTGGACGCCGGTGGGAGATACGTAGTGAAGTGGAAGTTTGATGAGACGAGCATCACGTTTGAAATCGAGGCGGAAACGATGGGCTACATAGGCTTTGGCTTGTCTCCAAACGGCGCCATGGCTTCAGCTGATCTTGTGATTGGAGGTGTTGCCAATGGGATACCTTACCTCCATGTAAGTCCGCTCGCTGACCACTCTTAACTTATGTTATTAACTTCTGTGCGGCACTGACCATCACTACCATCAACAGTACGACAATTGGCATCTAATATTAACTCTAAACTCTATACTATTACTATAATAATAATAGGTAATAAGAATAACACAGTCTTATGGTAAATATGGTAAATGGTTAATATGGCGTTTTGTCACTTTAATGCACATTATCAATGTAATAATTAAGATCAATCAATTAGAGATTGACCCTCATGAAAAAAATATGCTCTTCTTCATCTTCATTCGTTCTAATAATCTGTAATCACACAAAGCACATTTTTGGTTGAACTGACATATTTTTTACATTGTATGCATATTTCTTATGTTATTGTATGGGAATTCCATTGTTGTTTCCAAATTTCTGCCTAATTTAATCTTTAAGATGTAAATAAAGTAATTCAGATTTGTTTGATAGGTTGAAGTGTAGCATTTTGGAGAAATTACCAGCTCTGAATTCTTTACAGTGGTGGTGATAGGAACCAGTGTCAATGTCTACAACACAAATATAACTATTTATTTACATTCATTTACTTCAGTTTTTATGTTGATAAAATCTCAAAAAAGGAAAAAGGAAGGAAAGAATGTCTTAGCTGTTGATGTAAGTTAACGTAACTTAAAAAAAATATTTTGCAATTTCTTTTGGTCTATTCGTCACACAGTGAGATTTGTAATGTCGGCATCTGGCATGAAAAAAGGCTCTGATAAAAAAAAAAAAGTTTTTTGTTTTTTTGGGGGGGGGATGGGGGGGGGTATTTTGCCTTACAGCACCCTGCATGCACCTCTCTGCCATGATTTTAAAAATACATTTTAGGCAAATAAATAAATACATTCTCAGGCAACATATTCCTAACCATTTCAAGTAATCATTAGTGATTGCAACACTATTGTTTTCTGATTTATATTCATCTTCTTCTTTTTTTCTGCCAGATTTTTGTCCACTAACTCATGCAGCAGTTTTAGAGGTATCAACACCATTTTAAATGTGGAATGTTCGGTCTGATCAGGATTGTTATGCTTGTATATAGCTTTTGGATCAGACGTATGATTTTTGTACAAACTTTGTTAAATTATGAATTTTTCTCATAGAAGCAAATGGCAAGAATTTGTGCACCCAACTTATTTCATCCATTAGTAGCATCCTATCAACCAAGTTGGGAACTATAGCAACTGCCTAACAAAACCCTAGCAACCACCTAGCATACCAATCATAGCAACCACCTAGTAACACCCTAGCAACCACCTACCACCACCCTAGCAACCATCTGGGATACCCTAGCAATCACCTAGCAACCATCTGGGATACCCTAGCAATCACCTAGCAACCATCTAAAGTACGATAGTAACCATTCTGCAACACCCTAGCAATCACTTGGGAACTGCTTAAGCTGCACAGCCACTCTGCCTTTTTATATAGAAAATGCACTTTTCTAATTTTCTGTGAGTTTTCCGTGATGTAGCTTTTAAAGGCATTAAACTTTTCAGATGTCTGGTCACTATCACCACCACTGTAAACAGTTCTGACTTGATACGTTTCTCATGTCAAACCACTCTGATTGACTTAATTTACATCTTAATGATGTAATTGTGCAGAAATTTTGAAAAATCAGTGGGATTCCCTTTAAAAGGCCCATATCCTTCTTTCTTGCATTTTATTTTTTCCCTTGAGGTCTTATGACATTTTTGTGGTTTTATGCACCCAAAATGACCGTTTTCCAACCTTATCATTTATTCATTAGAATTAAACAGGCTGTTTTTGTTACCGTGTAACAAAAGACAGATATATGTGAACGACCTCAGTTCTATTGGCTGCCCTGAACTGTGCGTCATTCAAAACACTTAGAACTTCAATATGAATGCACAAGGCTTCTATAGGCTGACTAGGTGGATATATGTAAATGAGTTGGTTCTCATCACAGAAACAATTAATTCAACATTGCAGCATGTTTTTTCTATTGTGGACTGGGAAGTGAATGTTATCTTTGAAACTTTAACAATATTTACAGATCACTTTAAAGGCCAAAAGAGTCAGAGAAATTGTAAAGTGTTAAAAAACTCTTAAAAATGGTTTTACAAGGGTTCTTTAATAAAGGCATTGAACCATGAACACTTAAAGAACCATTTGAATGCATCAGTGGTTCTTTGCATGGCCAAATGGTTCTTCTCTGTGATGTAACCCAGTTGTTCTTTAAAGAACCCCCTTAAAAATGGTCTGATACACATCAACAAGGGTTCCACTATTGTTCTGAGTGAAAGAACCCTTTTTCAGCACTATATAGAACCCTTTTTTGCGAAGAGCGTATGTTGTTATGACTTTGCAATTAAAGACCTGCTTTCAGTTTGATAGTCAATGAGTTGATCTAAAAGTCCAGATCAGTAACAAACAGACCCGTTATTATGCTCTTACCTTCTACGTTTTCAAAGCAAGTCATTTTACACCCACAGTCTTTTATAAAACCACTTTTGTTACCTCATAAAACTCAAACAAGCACCTTTAAAGCAGACTTAATTTACTGGTGTTCTGAATGCCCTCCAGAAATCTATCAAAGGAGGTCTTTCCAACAGTAGCCCAATGATCAAAATGAGGAAGCCAGCCCGTTGTGATCTGGATTGCCATCAAACACTCTTCGCACAGCGCCAGAGGATCACAGACAGTGCTGGCTTGAACTGTTGCCACATCTTACAGCCTCTGTATCTCTCTGACTACAGAGCACGCAAGTAAATATATTGCAGTCACACCTCCTCTTATTTCCCACATAAGTATATGGTCTAGTGTCAAGGTTTCTGTTAACCGTATGAAGCAATACAGCATGTCATGTTTGAGAATTTTAATAATTGACAATCACTATCATCTCTAAACCACCAGGTGAGGGAAGTACTGTTCAAAACAAACATTACATTCAACTTCTTTGTCATTGTGCAGAGTACAGGTACAGAGCCAGTGAAATGCCATAAAGAGTGATCACAAGACACGCCTAATGTAGGGCTTGAACCCACAACACTAAGATTAGGAGTCTCATGCTCTACCCACTTAGCTAGCCGGGCATACAACCAACAGTGAGAAGGCTAGAAAATGTGAAAAGATGTTACTGAGGAAGATGCAATGCCTCACACATGATATCCTGATCATCTGGAGGATGGTGCCTGGGCCTAATCAGATTGATCATAGGCCTACTAGGGGTTTCACAACTTCAGATTTTTTAAAGTTGACAGTCATGTGATGAAAGTCGAGTCGACATTGACTAATCACTGATGATATTGTGTATAAAACCTCAGGGGATGGCAATGGTTTGCAACAAGCGAAAATTTGTGACAAAGCCAAACTCTACATGTCAGTAAAGCATGATGTGCCCTTTCCAATGAGCCTTGGATCACATTGCTACCCTTCAGGGAACCAGAGATATGGACCCTGGGAATTGTGCAAATTTGTATCTAACTTAGGCACACCCTAGTTGGCCTTGCTGAGATACTCACCTGAGGTTTTAAGATCCAGAGATCCAGAGGAATTTAGAAAGTCATAATTCAGCGACAATAAGAGTAACTGACTTCTCTACAGCGACACATGGCTTTTTTATTGTAGCCTTCAGACAACTAGATATAATGGCGCTCAATATCTGATCTTTGAAGTACTGTAGATTGGTGAAGAAATGTTAGAACATTAGGTCAGTAGAGCGTGATGTGCTCTGGACTCTCATTGCTAGCCTTCAGGAAACCAGAAATACAAACCCTGAAATCACCAGGTTGTAGTCTTCTCTGAGGTATCCATGTTGTTGCTGTCATAATCACATGATCAGCAATTCATCAACATCTAGTTGAAAGTATCATCACTGAGCAGTAAAGTCAACAAGCTGACTAGTCGACTAATCCTCACAACCCCTAAGGCCTACCTAATCAGATAAGGGAAAAACTATTTGTCAAACCGATTTAAAGTTAGTGAAATTTGATTTACCTTTCATTGTATTATGACATTTAAAAGTGAGAAAGTTGTCTTTTACAACAAAGACTGAAATGGGCTTTGTGAAAATGTCAAAGCAAACATCCAACAATACTTCAAAGATAAGACATGAATGAATTATGAACATTTTTATGCCTGCTGTGGCAGCATGTTTTTGGCCTTAATGACTAGTTTTAGGTTTGTACGTCTGCCATGCTGTTTGAGCTCATCTTTGCACATCTTAACTGTATGATTTATTTCTTCTTCATTGGGCAAACATGGCTGTGGCGAAAGAACTTTATGGTTAAATAGTTACTTTATAGACTTTAAAGTGCTTTATAGTAAAGATTGTCCTCCCACTTAATATTGTCTCTAATAACAGTGTAGTTACACAAAGCACATGCAACAACAATGTAACTACTAGTGATATATTTGCTTTTACAGATTGATTACAGTAGTAGAGCTTATGTAAATACATACGTTTCACCTTCAGTTTTTTCCACTTCTTATTAAATAAGTGTATCATATTGTTGTAACAGCATATTTTCATTTATGTATATGTTACACATATGAAAAAGGGTGACTTGCATCTGCACAGGATGTGGCTGTAGGAGTGTGCTTGTGTTGTGACATGATAACCAAAGTTCTGGCCTAAGACCGTTCGGTAACTTGTTGCAAGGAACATGTGTAATTACATGTTCAGTAAAAACTGAAGTTGATAAACATGAATTTACCTAAGCCGTATTACTGTAATCCATCTGTAACAGTGAATAGTCACTGGTGTTTTATTACTGTGTAACTACACAGTTATTAGAGACACTTTATACAAAGTGGGACCAAGAATGTCACAGTGTTTGTTGTGTTTATGTGAATACAGTAATTTGGTTGATTACCAGCATATGGTAGGTGTGGAAGTGTTATAGTGTTGTAATATGTAGGGTGATGACAGCATGCTGTCATGAATAGGCTATAGCCTGATGTAATGACATTGCCAGATATTTGCACATTTGGAAGTTGTATCTACTAAACTGGCCTATCCACTTTTTCACAGGTCTACCAAAAATGTATTTCTTTCTATGCCACTCAATTAAACTAGGAGTGGGCAATATACAGAGTTTTATCATAACTGTTATACAGGTGTGCCACACATAAGTGTAGATAATGTAACGTAAGTAGTGCAGAGACGTCTGTTGCATCTGAAGTAGACCACTTTGTTTTCGAGGCAGCGCTCATAAAGGAATGGGTGGTCTTTTGAGGTTAGCTTAGCCCAACATAATAATAAGGTGATCGCTGCACTTCTGTTTCCTCTCGTACTACCTGAAAAGCTACCTAACTTGGTCAGCTGCATCAGACGATTTCATGGTCACTAAAATGTATATACATTTGTGGCCATATAGTCCACATTGCTCTGTAATGTTATTAATCGGTACACATCATATTAAAATGATGTCTAATGTTAAATAACATTACAGAACAATGTTAGGTCAGTTGGCTAGCTAGTTAGCTTTTCTTTGCTGCTGACAGCTCAATAAATCAGTCAGATTAGCCAGGATTGGACAGTGCTCACATGCTAAGTTTGCCGAAACATCTCATGTAAAAGATGATGAGTCCTGATCACCATCTAACACTGCTGTCTAAAGGGATTATTTACAGCATTAGCTTTAGTATTAGGTGAACTGAAGGGGTGTCTACCATTTCCAGGTTTGACTAAGGTAAATGTGCTTTTTGTTCGCTTCAAATTGGCCAACATTCACATTTTGTCAGTTCTCAAGCATATCTTTTAAATCTATTTTAATTTTGAACGAAACGTTTCAGATGTTTCTTTGTAGAACTAACCCTTCTTAGTCTGCTAGCAAAAGTGCTTTGAGTGCTGCCAGGTAGACTGAGCTGAAAATTTGACTAAGACTAACTCACTAAGGAATAACTAAGGAAGGTGGGACTCCAAATTCTGCAAATCAGTTCTAAGGTGGTGGTCTGATTTCCCCTGCTCTAGCTCACTAGCTTAAGCTCATCAGCTACTCATTGAGCTCTTGAGGAGTTCAAGCAGGGAAAACATGAAATGATGATAATTTATGATTTCTAAACCTATCCAACCACATTCTGAATTGAACCTTGGTCTTTCAGTGACACATCAGCAGCAGTTGAATCTCAAACTTTCATGTTCAAAGTGCACTTAACTCTGACAGTGGCATGATGGGGTGGTTGAAAAATGGCTCCCCATCTCCACTAACGCAGAGACTGCTCTTATAGCCACGGGAAGTGGATGTTTACTTCCACAGCTTGAGTTAGACCTTGCCCCTGTCCATGTAGAAATCAAGTATACACCAGATGTGGTCCCACACAAACAACATGAGACATCTGGGGTATGCAGTGGACTCCAGCAGAAGCTGGACAATGATGTTGTTTTGCCAGCACTTTGGATTTGAGATAGGATATGTAATAGGCTACAATGACCATTAAGATTGAATGAAAGTTAATGGCCTATTAATTCATCCTAGACCACTTATATACTGTATATAAATGATGATAACCTAAAGTGGGTGGATGTAGGTGCAAGTATGGTCATATTACCATTACTTACCAGTAATAGTAACATGACATAACTCATGACAGCATATGATATCTGACATGTCTATGAGTCGGCTATGTCAATATTATGTAATATGGTTGAAGTGATATTATATAAGGTCAAATGCAGAAGCTAAAAAAACAGTAAAACCATGAAATATATTTGTGCTATACTTAAAATGTATTAAGTTCATTGTGTTAGGAGAAAATTGGCATTATTTGAAGCAGAATTGAGAATTGAGTTATAGTAATAGTAAAAATGCTGTTCCTTTAAACTACTGTGCTGGGCAGCACAGATGGATTCAAACAGTTTGAGCAGCAGCAGATCAACAGCACAGTTTCTATGAGGGACATAAGAGGGACATTTATAATTTCTGTTCTTTGAAAACAACACCCACAAACCTCTCCATTAAAAGTTGAAACATAACATCCCATTAAATATGGAGAATGCAGTGAAACATAAGGAGCAGAAAGGAAACCCCCTGTTAGCATGCTAATGGCATCTGTGTCTTGAGTTTTTGAAATGATGAAAAACTGTCACAAATGACAGTGCCAAAGTGTGGAGTATGACTGAGACATACAGGAAATCACTGCCTTGGATGACCAACCATTCTGTTTTTCAAGGACAGTGGATTTTGTATACTGTAGCCTACATACTTTAATGATTGTAATACTTTTTTATGTATTTATTTATTTATTTATTTTGTAAATTGGCAGTCTTTTCTTTTTCGGGTCCAGTTTTGGCCAAAAATTTTAATGTTTCATTTAAATTCTTAATTTCTTAATTTCCACCCAAGATGCCACCCCAAAAATTGGCTTCCACCCCCTTGGGTCAAGTGTTTGCACCTTTAATAGAAGAGTTGTTCCGCTATTACCAATCAATGGAACAACTGTCTAACCCTCTCCACTCTCTGCCACCCCTTTGCCACCCAAGGAAAGTTTTTTCTAGATCCACCACTGATTACCAGACCTTATTGACCCAATCTGTAGCAATGTTCTGTCATTCTGGGTACATTCCCTGTTAATGTTCAGTCTGTGGTTTAGCCATCTATCTTTCCTGCTGTTTTGCTGACACTTACCCTTCCACTCAGTCTTCATCAAGAGTTTTGGATTTTAGTTGGATGATGTAATTGGCCAGCTTAGCCTTGCAATCAAAAATTCTCAGTGCGGTCTCTCGATCTGCGGTCACATTATCAGTGAACACGCAAAAATTACATATCCAGGCTATACTTTCTCACAGACTGAAATGTGGCATTTTCTTTTTGTCCAATAACCCACTGCTTACAGCTCTGGTACAGGTTCAAATTTGAAAAATCAGCCCATTAGACTTCGTACCAGAACTATGCAGGCTCCTTTTGGCACTTTCAACAAACATCAACTGGGTTCCTTTATTCCTAAGCAGGGTTTTCCATCTCCTGGGGTTCTGGAGTGGATTTTTCACATCTTTGCCTAGACTTTGGTGGGTGTTCCTGACCATTGCATTTCCTTATAAATGAAATGATTCTTTGATCTTTCACAATAATGGTCTTCCTTAGTCGACCAGAAACTGAAGCAAAAATGCTGTGAGACGCCTAAAATCTAATGTGGCTATAATGACTTCTTATGAGTCTCAGCCTCATGAAAGGCAGCTTTACTCCAGTTGATCCTTGAGTCTGATGCCAACAGCACACAAGCCAAACAAAAGCCGAGAATTGAGACTAGACTACATGCTCCATCCTGAAACACACCTGCGTAATAGAGAACAGCTACGAAGCAAAGTTGTGCAAGTGTGCAAAAGTCAGAGACCACCCTTTTATTCCTTGGATTTCAAGTCAAAACAGCCATTAAAGTTACTTATTTTCAGTGTCAGGGAAAAAAACAGAAAATATATATTTAACGTGAAATCACACAGAAGCCCCAACAACTAAATATAATTATTTTAAGCATTTAGTATCCACCCTTTGCCTTTATTACAGCTTTCAGTTTTTCAGGATATTTTTTCCACAAGTCCAAAGTTCAGTCTTAGAGGTTGGTTGCATTTTTTACTTTTCACAATCTAAGTAATCCCAAATGTGTTACAAATTTTCCTCTTTGTTGTCTATTTCTTTCTCATTGAGGGCTTCTTGACAGCTATGCTTTCAGACTTTTCATAGCATTGAGTTGTCCTCCCACAATTTCTTTCAGATCTGAAGCAAGAGTGGATCTTTCTAGTAGGGGTGGGAAAAATGGCAAAAATGTATATGATGCTGTATATGATTCTATATAGAACATTTTTGAAAAGGGTTCTATATAGCACCAAAAAGGGTTCTTCTATTGTTACGATGACAAGCTTGTAACAGTAGAAGAACCCTTTTTGGTGCTATATGGAAGTTCTATATAAAACCATGCAAAACACGATCTCCATCAATCTGAAGAAACTTTTCATGATGGAAAGAACCCTTTAATCATGCATGGGTCATGGTTCTAAATAAAAACATTGTCTTTACTAAAGAATCCTTGAAGAACCATCTTTTTTAAGTGTGTACAACTACAATGATTTTTAATCAATGTTTTACAAACTGCAATAAATTCAGATTAAACTGGCCTAATTACACTCACTTTGTTGTTATTCAGTACTCTTTAAGTACTGATGATATCCACGATAAGTGTATTGTCTCACGATTTATCATGATAACCAAAAGAAAATCACCATATTGCCTACCCCTTTTCTCAAGGATAAAATCTTTTAAGCACTGTTTATCTGATGGGGACCGTTCTGGTGGTCTACCAGCTCTTGCAGGGTTGTTAACAGCTTCATTTTCTCTTTATCTTTCTCTTTATCTTATGCTAAGAAGCATATCCTGAAAGCATGAATACCATGTACAAATGGCCATTTTCACTGGAAATTTAAATCTCTGACTGTATCACAGTACTTTCATACAAAGCTACGCGATATTCCGTACTTTTCTGCACCATTCTAATTTATTCCAGTGCTTCTTTTTCAGGACTACTTTTCAGATAGCAGCAGGGTGGTCCATAAAGACCCGGTGCAGAGCTACAAGCTGCTGTATGGGAAAGAGAACCACACACACACTGTGTTGGCCTTCAGCAGAGACCTGCAGACCTGCGATCCCAAAGACAGAGACATCACGGTGGGTGAAAATGACCTCATAACACCTCCACTTCAGCCTGTGAACCTTTGTCTATTATTGTAGCACTATGCTGTTGTTTGCCAACTCATATGAAACATTTGAATAATTTAGGTTCAGGTTAAATTACATTGATTTTTCAAATTTTTAACATAATCACTGAGATTTAAACAGTGTCATTCAGAGTAGTTTGATTTTGGTTCATTGTTGAGAAACTTAGGGACTCTCAGTGGTGGTGTTAGGAACCAGTGTTGTCAAACACAAATATAGCCATTTTATTTACTTTCCAAAATGGCCAGTGTACCTACACGTCTTCTGAGCTTCCATAGGTAATGTTAATACATGCAAAATAGTAGATACATACAGTTTTATCGAATAAAAATATATTTTCCTTTGACTTGCAATGTATCTCTACTCCATAAAATATCTGTTTAATTTCTAGACCATTTCTTGTAATAGTTTCCTGTGAGAAAGCTTTTAAAGCCATTAAACCTTAGAATGTCCTGTTCCTATCACCACTGTTGTGACAATTCTCACTTGGTAACTTTCTCTAGAATGGCACATTTCAATCACAGTCAGTATCATTCCTATGGATCTTCAAATGGCTTGTCGAATGGTTGATGCTCACAGTTGACTTACCAGTTAATTGTATTACATTAATTGTTAAGCTGTTCATTTGATTTGATTTAGCATCTTAAGTGTCTTAAAATAAACACTAGTTGACTTTGAAGAGTGCAGATGATAATAATGATCTGAGTCAGATGTTGAGCGTTGATGTAGATACAGGCATGTATTTCCTGGCAGCTGTAATGCAATGCTTCATGAGTAACTGCCATGGGAAATTTTAATACTCTGAAAAGCAATTAAATCAGCCGCCCACTAGGAACCAATGCAAGCAATCTGTTCATCCAAGGCAATGAAAAGATCAGAAAAATACAAGCCCTTTTCCAAAAAAGTTGTGATGCTGTGCAAAATGTAAATAAAAACAAAATGCAATGATATGCAAATCATTTAAACCCTATATTTAGTGGAAAACACTACAAAGACAACATATCAAATGTTGAAACTGAGAAATTTTATTGTTTTTTGAAAAATATTTGCCCCTTTTAAATTTGATGCCAACAAGACCTTCTAAAAAAGTTGGGATGGGGCAACAAAAGGCTGGGAAAGTTGTGTAATACCAAAAAAACACCTGGTGGTTAATTGGCAATAGGACAGTAACATGGTTGGGTACAAAAAGAGCATCTCAGAGAGGCTGAGTCATTCAGAAGTAAAGATGAGGAGGGGTTCACCACTCTGTGAAAGTCTGCACGATCAAATAGTGCAACAATTCAAGAATAAAGTTTCTCAAAGTAAAATAGCAAAGAACTTTTGCTTTTCATCATCTACGATATATAATGTCATTAAAATGTTATTGTATCTATTACTGAACAATTGATACATGTTTTGGCAACATATTCTGCCATCCATATGATGTCTTTTTCAGGGAAAGCCTTGTTTATTTCAGCAAGACATTGTCAAACCACATTCTGTATGTATTACAGCAGCATGCTTCCATATTAAAAGAGTCCGGGCACTAAACTGACCTGCCTGCTATCCAGACCTGTCACCCACCGAGACCATTTTGCACATTATGAAATGAAAAATACTGCAAAGGAGACCCTGAACTGTTAAGCAGCTGAAATCCTATATCAAACAAGGATGGAAAACATTTCACTTTCAAAACTACAGCAACAATCTCAATTGTTGGCATCACATTCAAAAGGGGCATATATTTTTCAAAAAAACAATAACATTTCTCAGTTTCAACATTTGATATGTTTGTAGTGCTTTCCTTTAAAAATATGATTTACTTGATTTGCACACCACAGATTTTGTGGATTACTTTTCTTACTTAGTGTTCTCCATCAGTCAGCATTAAACCTGTCAGCTTCATCAGATACTAATTTTCATCAGATATAACAGCTAACTTTTGCCCTTTTTATTAATGTGTTATTACAGTGTATTATTTGATTATTATAATCTGAAATATGATTTCAAGTATTAATGACCTAATTATTAACTATTAATAAACTAAATGTAAATGATTTATAAACTACTTAGAAAGGTAATCTTATTCTAAAATGGTACTGGAAAATATATTAATGGCATTCAAAAAATTATTTGCATTAACAATTCATCGTATTAGCATGTTATTCATAAGCAAATATTTGCAAAAGTTTGAAGGTCTGTGTCAAATTATATGTTTAGATGACTTTCAATGTGTAAACAGGTTTAAAATATTGGGTAAAAAAAACTTTTTTCAGTATGTTAAGTTCAGCAAATAAATTGTAATTGTGGATTAAAATGCGCAGAAGTTAGTTCTTTGTAGAGGATGTGTACATCGTTTGACCAGAGACACCCAAACTTTTGCATATGACAATTAAGTCTTTTATGAGATTTTGAAAACAAAGAATAGTAAAACATTGAGAAATACAAAGGAAATATTGATGATTCTGCACTATTTCTAGGAAACTATTCAAATAAATACATTTGCAACACTGACCACTGTTAACATCTTTGTACAAAAAGGTCAGATTTTAGTCTTATATCTTCCAAATGAAGCACATGTTCAGAGAACTCCAGGTGGTGCCAATACCACTTAAGTACATTTAGGTGCTTCATAAGAGTTGTATTTCACATCAATGACACTGCATGTCCTTAGTGCAGGTTAATATGGGTTTATTATTATTCTGACAAATCTGAATACATTTTATTGTACAGAAAAATAAAAACAGAACTGAACAATATACAGATAAAATATGACACATGTGCATAAGCATGGGGTGGCTCGCTGTTTCACATAAAAAATTCTGAAGTTATTTGTATTATCCATGTGTTCCATGCACCTGTATTTACATCTACAACCTACAGACACTGGTGAAATTTGGAATTTGGAATTTGGCTCTTGCACTTAGTAGTATCTGATCTTTGGCTCATTGTGATGTTGGGAGAATCAAGTCTGGAGTCCACAGCATTGTCTGATATGGCTCAGCAATGGGTCCTTAATGTGTGAATTCATACAATACAGTATGCAGAGCGGGGGTACTCTAGGACCACAACTAGGAACCACTGATTTATATTAAGACGTGCTCAAGAAAGACATCATTTTAAATCCATGAACAGCAGCTCAGATCAGCTTGAGCTACCAAGACATTTGCTGACGTGTCACTAATTCTATAACCTCCCATGCTGTTTTTCCACCCAGAGTGGTACGATGCGGGTGATCTGGGCGCTCCACAGTGAAGATGTGGGGCCTTCAGGGCCGAAGTACCATGGCATAAACAGAGGGAGGAAGAGCTTACGCTTTCTAAACCCTGGAACCAGCAGAAAGGTTCCACCTGAGACAGCCACCGTTGACCTGCTGAACGTTAACGTGAGTAAAGTGAACTAAAGTGTGCTAGGAAGGGATGGAGAAGAAGTAGAGATGATGGATGAAACAAGTATGGTTTAGTAGGTTCCCAAGAAACATCATACCATGTTTGATTGCAGTGTTCTTAAGTGTTTAAGTGTAAACAATCTGAAAGCTTCATTTCAGGTGATCTGTTTTCCTCCTAAGACAGGTTCCAGTACCTGACAAGGACACAACGTACTGGTGTCAAATGTTTAAAATGCCAGAGGTGCAGAAGAAGCATCATATTATCAGAGTGAGTATGAGTTTTCTTACTTGACTCAAGCCCAGTGAGTCTACACTTTAAGACAAAGTCAATAGCTCATTAATTCATTTCCTATAGTGGTTGTGGCTTGGGACTTGGACCTGGGTTTACTGTAAAGCTACTTTGTTGCAACCCCTGTTGTAAAAGGCGCTATGTAAATAAACTTTGACATGACTTGACTTGTGAAGCAAAGGGCTTTACGCTGGTTAAACTAATTCATCAAATGTGTCAAAAGGAACAGCAATAATACTACTGGAGCTTCACATGGCTGTTTCAGCTGTTGTTGTTAAATGCAGTGCAACAGCTTCTCAACATGCATGAGCATATATTCTGACCAAGATCAGATCGTTGAATTGTCAGAAAGATACAGTAATATGCAAACTTTAGAGATCACCCATCATTTACTTCATACTTCCAGTCAAAACAGCCTTCATTCATTTTCTCAGTAGATATTTTGGTGACACTTTATTATGAGTGGTTCTTTTAGATGAAACAAACACTCAATAGACTCTCATTAACATGCCAAAAACATATGAGGGTTAGGAATAGGTTTTGGGTTGAGGTTAAGGTTAGGGTTAGGATTAGGGCCAGGGTTAAAGTTAGGTTTTGGGTAAGACTGGAAAGGTTAGGTTTTGCACAGTGAAAGTAACATATTAACAATACATCTACTTAATGTAAGTAATGTATCAACAGAACATCTTCAAGATATTTGCTTCAATGTATTTAGATGCTTCACTACTGCTACTTCATAGATATGTTGTTGATGTGTTACTAATAATCTGTTAAGAGCTTATTAATCATCCAAAAAGGACCACTCCAAATAAAGTTTCTGAGAAGATCAGATATATGATCTCTTATATAAGACTTGGTAGACCAACAAAACTGTCCCCTGTCAGATCTTTGAGAGAGGAGAAAATCAAGCTCCACTCTTGCTTCAGATCTGAAAAAAATCACAGGTGTTTCTGTCCATCCTTCCACTGTCAGACGACAACTCAGCACTATGGGTCTGAAAGGATGTGTAGCTGTCAAGAAGTTACAGAGAAAGGGAAATACGGAAATCAAACAAAGAAGCTGCTGATGGTTTCAGAACAACAGACTGTCCAGCCCAGAGTCCAGATCTCAACATCATTGAATGTGTTTGGGAATATTTGGAATGTCAGAAGCAGAAAATGCAACCAACTTCTAGCACTGAACTTTGGAGGTGTGATTTGATTTATTTCAAAAACTGAAAGCAAGTCTCCTTAAAAGAATGAAAGAAGTTATAAAGATGAAAGGTGGAGACACTAAACACTAAGTTATATTTACAATTGAAGCTTCTCTGTAATTTTCTGTAAATATGTTTTATGCTTTTTTTCCTAACACTGAAAAATGAATAACTTGTACTTAATGGTTGTTTTGGTGGGAATTAAGTAAATGAATGGTGGTCTCTGACTTTTGAACTGTAACATACATTAACATGTACTTGAAGAAGTTTATTAGTTCTGATATATGATGTCCAATGGCCCCATCAGCATAATAAGACCGGTAGAATTAACTGAAAAACTGAAAACTTTTTTTTTTTTTTCAGATTCTTTTCTTTGTTTTTAACTGACTTATCAGTCACTGTTTGCTGCTCAAAGATCCCTTTCTATTTTTTCTACCCTCTTTCTTTCTCCCTTATGTCTGCTCTGAGGCTCACCTGCTTATTATTACTTCAGAAGCTACTATTTATAGATGACGCATCTGTAAAATTACAAGTTCCCACCGTGATTAAGCAGCTTTTCTCAAAACACAGAGCTTTTCAAACATTCATAATTAAAAGCAGGGAGATTTTCATCACCAGACAAAAAAGACAGGACAAAAACATGAAAGTGTCAGCTTAAATCATTTCAGACGTGACTGACGGTGACTGTATATTTTGGAATGTTTATATATTTTATGATAACCGTGGGTTGTTAATTCTCCATCATCTTCAAAAGTGTTCACACTTTTGAATCATGGAAGAACCAGGCATTCAAGTTTCCATGGCTGTAGTCAGTCTTTATTTGTGCATTACACAACACTTAAGCTATGGCCATACAGTAGAGTACAGTAGTCCACTATTAGAGAGGTCATGAGTGCAACCCATTCAGCGGTTAAAGGGCTGAACAGATGCACACAAAGAGTCCACAGTCTGTCCTTTAACTGAGAGTGTCTGTTGGGACGAATAGTGAATCTGTATGGACTTTTTGGGGTGAATATTTTACCTTTTAGGTGGTTAATTGTAACTCCAAGGCACATGTTAACTCCCCAAATCTTAAAGGGCCATTTCAATATGAAACTAGCTTTTGATATGTTATTTGCCATGTTATGTTATATGTTGTATTGCATCCCTCAGACTCATCATTTGACAGAATTCACAATTTTGTATCCTGTGTGCGTTGTCATCCATCAATACAATACCCAGCGTGCACTGCACAAATACATCAAACAACCATTGGGCAATAAAGAAGTCCACTAAAGTACCACTGATGTAGAGGCTAATCAATAGTTTGCACCAAAATATTTACAAACGCTTGTAGTTTTTCAAAAGTTCCTTTCAAAATGCATCATCAGTAGGGTTTTTTCCTCATCTTTAAACCAGAAAATCTTGCTTTTGAGCTAAAACAGTTGTTCAAACCAAGCTATTCTGTTTTTTTGGTACTATGCAAAAATGCTCTAATGAATTTAGTGATGTGACCCAACCTCACACTGGCCTAACCCATTGATCCTCTGACCATCCCCAGAGTAACCCCTGCCCTCATACATCCACCCCAAAGCCTTTATAACTTTTCAAAAGTTCCTCCCACCTTCAAGATGGAACCAGAAAGTCATGCTCTTAAGACTTTTATGGCACAACTGGAGGTGAGTAGGCATACAAGGTTCAAAGGGTTTAAGGTGTGAAGTTCATTCAAGTCTAATTTTACTCTATAACCTAGTGTAACCACATATCAAATATTATTCTTACCCCTTGATTGTGTGATTTATTCAGTTATGAGTCTATAAATCTGTCATTTATAGCTATACATAGCTATTTATAGCTATTATGACTGGTTTCACTCTTAACTCATCTTAGCCATCCTGTCCAAATATGACATGAGCATCTGTTGCCATTTTCCACACTATACAAATAAGCTAAGTACAAATTAATTGATGTGACCCAACCACACATTGGCCTAACCCACTGACCCCACGACAAACCCCAGAGAACCCATCCCAGCAGGCTGCCTCTACAGCTTTTTAAGCCAAAGACAAGCAGCTGGCTCTCAGTATTACCACACACTGTGAAAGTGTGTTCCTTCGTTTCCTCCCATTTGCTGTCCACCGCACAGATGTGGGATGGACGGTCTGCTGGAAGTGGAAAATCCCAGCCACAGTGCCCCCGCTGTCTATATTCAGATCATAGTATCATTGTACACAGTCAGGTCATTCCATCCTTGGGTTTTGTCCTTATTAAGTTTATACTTGGAGGGCTTGCAAAGACATCTGCTCATGTGCTTTCATTTTTGGAAATATTGTTTTCCCTAGAGCTGCAGAAGTCCTGGATAAGTTTGCTATTGTTATTTCTATCATCTGTTACTGCAGTGGTATGTCACGGAATTACAGATATTAACCTATGATCTCTAAGGTTTCCACTATAATTCTTCACTCTTGTAGCTTACAGCACTGTTGAAAAGTTTCAAATCACTTTTTTCTATAATGTAAAATCAACATTGATTCTGTGATTCTATGATGCTTATAGTTTAAAGTGTAGATGCTTATTGCTGCTGTCAGAAGAAAACCTCTTATCTCCATTTTTGTCATTTTTCAGTTTTTGACATTGTTTGAAAATATGTTGTGTGTAAATTTCATGAAAAATTGACCAAAAGAAACGGCCCAATATCACTTGGAAAAAAGTCTCGTTTTGGAGATACGAGCTTTTCTTCCAACAACAGCGATATGTTAGTGGATAATACATCTTAATTGAGAGATGTTACTTTCATTGTGCTACACTATTCAAATGTTATTACACCATATTTACATATTTAATTTTGTAGTGAGACCTTTGAGTCTGACTTTTTTTCCATTAGTTTGTAAAAATTAGCAAAAGTGTAAAGAATGCACAATAAAAATTTAACCAAATTCAAACCATAAAAAAGAACTCAAGCACAAATGTGGTATGCATTGAAAGTTTAGAATAGTAGCGGGCAGTATGTCCAAAACTTCAGATCATGGTATATTTATAACATTTCTGAGAGTTTTAGTATTTATCATTAGCAGGTTAACAGTGGTTTATTATTCTTGGATGCCACTTCACTTTTAATAAAAATAGTTTTAATAATCAAAGTAAATCTGATATATTTTATTGAGCAAAATAGTAAATAAAAAATGGAACAACATATGGATAAACTTGTGTCAATATTGCTATTTAATACTAGCCCTGTGCGGGCTTTATTTATTTTTATAAGCTGAAATTGGTCTGTTTGTGGCAGCTTTGTGTTCGAATTTTCTACTCCACCTTACATGAAGCAGCAGTAACATACTTGCACGTGTAAAGGCCTGAATACAACAGCTGCCATAACGCTGGGTTGACACATCAGAAACTCGCTGATAAAAGATAAACTGGAAAGTTTATTAAAAGGACAATTATTTAAATAACACGGTCAACACCAGACCAGTTCAGAAACCAGAGTAACAAAACATAAGATATGGGCGAAGACGATAACTGAGTCAGATAAAGAAGTGAAGGTCATAACCAAACAGCAAACACAGTTAGACTTAGCCAAAGGGACAAATCCAAGAATCACTAATGAGAAACAAAACAAGGTTGTACACAGAATAGCTGTCAAACAAGGGAATGGCTCAGTATGCGCAGATGAAACAGAGGCAATACTTTGCAAAAACAGGGTGCAAACATACCTTTATATACATAGAATATATACATAGAATTGCAGGTGATGATAATCAATGCTCAGTTGACTGAGATTTGATATTGGTTGGTGGAGTCACATAAGGGATTCTGGAAAGTGGAGTCGCAACGGAATGAGACTCTGAATGAGAACCAGGAAGCATGACGGCTATACCATTTAGGGTGGAACAGGAAATTCAAGCTTAGCTGAATTTCTTAAGTCATTTGTCTTACATGTGCATCCCACACACTTTCATCTCCGGCCGTCAGACACTGCCAGAAACTGGAAAATATTACAGTTACAGTGGTTTCAGTACCAGATGGTCCATGGCTTGTTTTGCACGTAAGCCTTCAACCCAAATGTCTGCTGATGCAGCAGACCGAGTCAGGTGGCTTCTCAGGTGGTATGAGAAGAAGCACAGCATAGTGTCCAGGTTAGGCTAAGGCTAACCCCGAAAGACTGGCCGGCCCTTAATGTCTGCTACCTTAAAAACAAAGATGTTTTGTAGATGCAAATGACTAGAAAGTGAAAGGTGATCAAGGATCTGTTGTTTTTTCTTTTGAAACATGACCATCCATGACTCAGCCACTCAACTAAACATGATGGCATTAGCGTGTTTTGTACGTCATGTTATCTGTGCATATTTGGGGTGATTATGACAACGCTCACACCTGAGGAGCATTATCAACTGGTATATCACCCACCACTCGTTTAGAATCTGCACTTTTTACTGTATTTCTGCACTTTTTTCAAAGAGTTATGAGTGAGAAACATTTAATAATGAACTACACCATGCTTTTGTTATCACTGGCAATAATGGAGACTTCAAAGGGTAAAAAAATTAAAAATTATTTCTGCTTCTTTTACCTCCTTCCATCCCATTAAATCCCACATTCATGCTACTGCCATCAGATTAACAAAAACATAACATAGAAGTAAGCAGTCAGGACATTGTAAACTGGAAGGACGCCCCAGATACATACTAGTGCTGCTTTGATGTCTATTTCTTTTATTAGACTTCAGTTGCATGTTTGTCTCCTCCGATTCATCAGGTTTTTAAAGCCTCAGAGCTGAAACAGCTCCCCATGCGCAAATAAGATGAGAGGAAGAGAAATAAAGAGATGTTTGAATATTTATTCAGCCACTGTTTGGTCCTGCGTCCCGCTGCTCTGAGCGGAAACCCTCTGGAGAAAGACACACAGATCAGCCTGTTGGAAAGGCTTTTATTTAGAATTCCTGCTCGGACAGAAAAGAATCCCCGACTGTGAGGAGAGTCTAATTCCAAAATCCCTTATTTCCTATTCCAGAGCGCTCAGGTCCAACTTTAGTTCGCTCGTCTGGCCCCCGCCTTGCACACACACACACACACCCACACAGAGAGGCGCAATTTCAGCCTGTACAGAGTGTGTTGCCTGGCCTATATAGCTTGTAAATTGTCCGAAAAGTTTGTCTGGCCCACACAGATTATATAATCTAATCGGCACTTTAAACATTATCGGAAGTTTCCTCAATAAAGTATTGCGTTCAAGTCAGTATGATACTTTACCTGTGTTTTACAGTTTTATATAGCATCCCGTGTTGAATTCTGGGAAAATGTACTGGTTGATTAATAATAATAATAAGGGGGATAGATAGTTCGGTACCAACATTCCCAGATTACCGTAGGACAGATCTGCACCTTATTCTAACAGGAAAAGAAATTAACCAAAAGCTCGACTAACAGGTAAGTTTTTAGCCTAGACTTAAATATGGAGGCTGTGTCTGAGTCCCGAACACAGACTGGTAGGCTATTCCAAAGCTGGGGGGCTTTGTATGAAAAGTTTCTTTCCCATGACGTAACTTTATTAATTCTGGGTACTAATAATGAGCAGCACCTTGTGATCTCAGTGGCCGTGTCGGTTGATAATAGGAAATAAGGTCACTGAGGTACTGAGGAGCAAGGCCATTCAAAGCTTTATACGTCAGTAGAAGAATTCCACATTGAGTACAAATGTCATTTCATGTAATTTAAAAAGTTTTATGACAAAACATTATATCAGTAAAAACCTTGACACAGGTTTTATGTCAACTTGACAATAAATTTGACCACATCAGCCATTATGACAACTGCCTTTATTAGCAAAAGCCTTTATAAATGTTCATGTAGGTTTATGTCACCTGTCGTGAAAGGCTTATGTCATGTTCTTAGAGCCTTATGAATTTGACCTACAGTAGCCTGTTATTGTATAGCTACTGTTAAATTGTTGTAGCATTATTGTAATTATTTATCGAAACATACAGTATCATCAGCTCATACTATATACTATAAAAGTCAACTCCAAAACTACTTTTCTGAAGCAGCATTGTAACTGTAATTGAGGAAGCTTGCTCCTGTTTTTCTTCATAAAGTGCATTTGCTCTGCTTGCAGATTGAGCCGCTGATCCAGAAAGGCCATGAGAATTTGGTGCACCACATTCTGCTGTACCAGTGTGATAGTTCACTGAATGAGAGCGAACTGGACATGGGCCATGAGTGCTTCCATCCCAACATGCCCGACTCCTTCACCACCTGTGAAACTGTCATCTTCGCTTGGGCCATTGGTGGGGAGGTATGGTATCCTGTCATTTTTCTCTACCTTGCAAGTACACTAAAAACCTTAAAATGTTTACGCATCTTAAAGTGGCTAATTACTGGTGATATTATTAGCCGTGAAGTAATGCATCAATGCATTGTGAGGGATGATCTGAACACTGACACAAAAAAAAATTATACAAAGGTAATGAACTTGGTTGACATGAAATTTTGAGTTCATTGAACTTCTAATACTAACAGATGAATAATTTGTGTTTTATATTCTGTAAACATATTAAGTTTAAAAAATTAACTACGTAAGTTAAAGTTACAGCTTTTTAATTAGATGTTCAGTTTTTTTACAATAATGTGAGTTTATTTTCAGGCAAAATTAAAATTCTGGGGCTGTTCTGAATCATAAAAAATTGTTATCTTGATTTTATTATATATATTCCATCATATTTCTGCACACCTTTCTAAAACAATCAAATGGAATCAAATTGTGCTTAAACTTGAGATAATTTCCTAAAGAATTGTAATCAAATCAAATTGTTGTGAAGACTCTGTAAACAAGCTAAAAAGGAACATTTTTCTATTGCAGGGGTTCACTTATCCGGTACATGTGGGAATGTCAATAGGAACAGACATTGATCCAGTCTATGTGCTGATGGAGGTGCACTATGACAATCCAGCCTTACAGACAGGTAGAGTACTATGGATCAGCCATTGTCTAGTACAAATATTGGCCACAAAAAATGCTAATGTGGCTGGAAGTGAGAGAATGGTACACTTACATTTATGCATTTGACATTTTATATCCAGAGCAACTTTATTTGTTTCATACGTAGGCAAAAGCAGTTTTAGAAGTCTTGCCAAAGTACTGTTGCTCGTATAGGATGATATTCTTGCCCAGGTGGGGAATCGAATGCCCTGTGAAGAGCTGCAGTGTTATCCTGGGGGGACCTGCTACTGTGATCACATTTGGATAATGCAAACTGTTCTCAGTCTGTTTCATTAGCAGTGTTATTTTTATGCATTATATATATTTTCAGAATACTTATTTTTACATTGTTCTTGCTCTTGTTCTTAGTTGTTTCACACTGTTCTTATTGTTCATTTAGAAGCCTTACATTAGCTCATGTTGCACCTAGTTTGGATTAGGTTGAATATGCCTAGTGTTAGGAGGTACCGTTCTCAAAACTAGGACTTTTATTGTGTAAAAGGAAACTTAGTTTAGTGTCATGTCACTGCTATTGGTTATTTTTGGATATGCTGTTTACATCTATCATCAGTACTGTTGCTTATCGTTATGGACGACACGCTGTTATTTATTCCAATTGCTCCAAGACCTAACCCTCCATTGGTTGAAGACCATTGTTGCCATGTGTGTTCTTATAAAGTTACATTTCTAACTGGAGTCACATGCTGAGCGCCAGTTGTTTTCATTCTTTCTCTTCTGTCTCTCAGAAGTGGTGGATAGCTCTGGCCTGCGCCTGTACTACACCCCCAGGCTGCGGACCTATGACGCAGGGGTGATTGAAACAGGTGTATGGGTCAGCCTTTACCACATGCTGCCTCCCGGCATGCAGGACTACATCACTGAGGGACACTGCACTCAGGAGTGCCTGCAGGAGGTAACAAATGCCCAGACATGCTGGCAGATACTCCTTGTTTACACCTTAGACAAAAGAATAGAAAAACAATGTACACAATTTTCCCCTTTACCCAAATGTAGTTGATCAGCCAAGACTAGTCTGGCTTTCAGTTTGCTTCTTTAATTTTACACTAGAGTTATGAGGCAGGCTAAACAAGCATATATTGCCTATAAAAATGACAAAAGTGCAGACAAAATTGGATGAAATGTATTCAGTTTTATAGAGAACATTGCAGTTTGCACAGTGGCATAATTTAAATGTATTTTACTTGTTTTTTCTATATCAAGGCCTGCCCCCAAAATTGTCTGGCAAATGAATAATTTTTTTACTATTTGTTTTCCTATGGTTTTTGTTTCTTTAACTTTCATTGCACTGATAATCTGATAACAGCAGCCAGAAAATCATGAACATGTTCTGGCCATATGCACATGGTATACAGCTATACAATAGACAAAAGTGGAGACAAATAGCAATGTCTAATGCAGAACCCTTGCAATTTGCTTCCTAAATAGCCTTTTTTACCCTATTACCATTACTAGCACTCATGTGGTATTACCTATGTTATTATTTAAGAGCCAAGCTACGGATTATTCACATTGTATGGCAATTATTTAAGATGTAGCTTAAACTGATAATAATTCAACTTAAAATAACTAGCAATTCCTGTCCCTGAAAATTATTGGAGGAGTCTGTTAGCCTGTTAACTATCTGCAGAGCTGTTCAGCTGATTCTAATGAGAATACTATAGAGAATATGGTGTAAAGCAGTTGCAGAGAGCTTGAACACTGATAATATAAGAGTTTTAGACAGCATCTAAAACTCTCATATTATTAGTGTTCAAGTGATTGGAAAATAGTTATAGTGATAGAAAATGGGAGAGAGTAAGTAACTGTGAATAATGTCAAGGCCAAGAACACCAAATAGCTTAAATGCACAGTTTTGGGCAGTTTTTGAGCTACAGGAATGACGTATGGTTGTTTGGCCACAGTGAATTTGTGCATCACAACAGAGATGTGCTCGCACATGGTCCAGACTTCGACCAATCCAGTAACACTATGGGCAGGATATTGTGACAGGTAGCCTGTGTTGATTGCTTGACACATCACATTTATTAAGGGTTTGGTGAATGCCAGGGGAACGTTACCTGCCTGACTGCATTGTGCCAACTGTAAAGTTTGGTGGAGGAGGGATAATCCTATGGGGATGTTTTTCAGGGTGAATGTTAATGCTTCAGCAGACCAAGACGTTTTGGACAATTGTATGCTTTCAACTTTGTTTTTTGGGACGGCCCTTCTCTGTTCCAGCATGACTGAGCCCCTAGTGCACAAAGCACGGTCCATAAAGGCAAGTAATATAAATGAGTTTCGTGTGGAAGAACTTGACTGGCCCACAAAGAACCCTGACCTCAACCCCATCGAACAACTAGAACAAAGATTGAGTCCTTTCGTCCAACATCTGTCTCTGACCTCATAAATGCTCTTCTGGATGAATGGGCAAAAATTCCCGGACACACTCCAAAATCTTGTAAAAAGCTTCTCAGAAGACAGGAAGTTGTTATGGGGGGGGCAAGTCCACATGAATGGCTACGGATTTAGAATGGGATGTCACATAAGCTCCTGTGGGTGTAATGTGTAGGTGTCCCAATGCATTTGTCCATACAGTGTACATTAAAGATTATTCATCACTTGAATGCTTATGTTTCGGCAAGGAGGCAGGTTAAAATGCTGAATACAACCATCGGAAAAATGATAAGCGTGGGCTTTTATTATCAGTCAGCCCGATATTATATACTAAGTCTTGTTATTCAGTAACTACATGGAGTTCAATGCAAACTGGTTGACCTATTCTTATTATGGTTATATTATGGTTGTATGGTGTTATGGTATCTCTTGGTGTCAAACAATGAATGGTTTATTCACTTTTGCAGCCAACCACTTGTGGTCAGCAGGTGCCACTTGATCTCTTGGGTCCATGCATTTGTGTGGTTTGTATGGTGGTATAGCCTACCACTGCCTGTAGGGCACCCCCTCCCTGTACATTTGAACATATGGGTTGCAAAATTCCCAATTGCAGTATACCCTTTTGAATTTGCACGATGCTAATTGTTGAGTATAAGCTTCCATTACATGCTAGCTACATTAGCCTCATTGTTCTATTGCAAAAAGAAAAAAGCAAAAAAGGTCTTTGCTGGGAAAATTGATGTACACTAACTATTCCTTTAAATCGTTACAAAATTAAAACATACACTTTATTATAAAACAGATTACCCATTATTACTTCACAGATTTGAACTGAATTTTAACAATTTCTACCAATTATAGTCCAGTTGGGAGTAGAAAAAAGGGTCACAGCTCTGGTTTTGCTGGTAAAGCACTTTTTAGGGGGCTTAATGGCAAACCACTTCTGAAAAGCTTTGCCTTTCTGGGATTCATATTAAAACTAGCCAATTATTCAAGCTCATGACTGAGTTTCAGTTATCTTTTCATATCAGGATTAGAGCTCATAGGATGGAAAGATAGAGGAGCTTTTCATTATATTTAATTTAGTAGACATGCAAGATATTAAAGTTGAATCACTGCTCTCTCTCTTTCCCTCCCCTCAGTCTCTAGACAGTGAGATGCCCAGTGGTGTGTGGGTGTTTGCGGTTCTTCTCCACGCTCACCTGGCGGGCAGGGCTATCAGGACCAGACACTTTCGCGAGCAGGTCGAACTGCCTCCTCTGGCCTCAGATGACCAGTTCGACTTCAACTTTCAAGAGTTCCAGCCTCTCAGCCCCGAGCGGCTGATTTTGCCCGTTAGTGTCCTACTCACTTGTAGTTTATTAGTGCATCTGCCTTCGTTCTGCCTCTTACATTCAGTGTCTTACTGCCTTGGCCTTAGTTTTCCCTGTTTAACCTACTTCAACATGCTCCTGCTTTGCCTCAGGTTTACCTACTGAAAAGCATGGTCAGTGGATTCTTAGTCACAACACTCTTTGTAAAAGTTGCACAATACTCCTCACACTCTCTCTTCATGCATTCTCAGCCTGTAAACAGGCAAAAAAGTGCATGAAGTGGATCATTGCCACAGCCTAGCCATAGCACCAGTGAGTTTTAAACCATGAGTTTTAAACAGTGAGTTTTGAGTGGTGATAAGACAGCTGTCGGCTAGTTCTAGATCTACATATACCAGCTTAGTTCTTAGTCAGTCCATATCAACATGAATTGGAAATCAGAATGCATTTTCCTCCACCCAATTTTCAAAATGTCTGCAAAATTCATTTATTAAGATATAAAAAAGTCACTCAGAGTGGTTTGATGTGAAATGCACCATTCTTACCAACTTTTGTTCACTGTGGTGGTGATAGAAACCAGATGTCCAAAGAATTTTATGCCTGCCCAAGCTCCAATCTCAAATAAAGGTAATACATGAAATGGTTACAAATCCATTGCCTGATGTCTGCAATATTGTTTAAAGGTAGTTTTGAGATAATGCTTTGGCCTGAAATGTATTTTTACACTTATTTATGGCAGCCCCTGAGAAAAGCATATGTTCAGATTTTTCAATATTTTTTCAGTCATTATTGCATAAAAAAAACTCAGAAGACACATGTAGGATAACTGGTCATTTTGTATAGTAAATAAATGGACTATTTTTGCGTTGTAAACATCATGACCCCTGGTTCCTATCACCCCCACTGTAGAGTCTGCAAAGTGTCTGCATTTTTTTTTACTTTAAGGTTTTCTTCTTAACCATTAATTAAAATGTTAGCAGGCAATTAATAATGCCCTAGTAAACAGAAGCATATCATTTGCAAGCTTAGAAATAGGGCATAAATGTATTTACATGATGCATAAACCCCTTAAAATTCCCATCCTTATTACATTCTAAGGCTTAATATTCAGTAACTAGAGGGAGTTCAGTGCAAACTAGCTGATCTATTCTTAGCTGGGCCCTTTTGGCCTTTTAATGGGTTAATAAAATCAATCAGTCATTAACTGTTAGCTGACAAATGAAATAAATATAAGTTGTAATGTTTCAACTGGAAGCATTCATGAAATGTCTATATAACATATACATGTGCAATGTTTCCTGTGCTACAGGCTCTTACACAACTCCAAAGCATCATAGATCCATCCCCATTGATATTAGCAAGCAATTAATAATGCCCTAGTAAACAGAAGTAAATCATTCGACAGTTGACAAGGTGTTCTTTTCATCAAATGCTGCTCCTTTTCCCCTCTAAACATGATTTGGCCAAAGAGTGTTTTTACTTCATCAGTCTACAGCACTTGTTTCGAAAAAGCCCCTGGCTTATCTAAACATTTTGCAAACAGGTAGGTCTTCCTTCTGATGACTCTTTCTTGCAGATCATGTTTCTGCAATCAATGGCACACAGTAGAGCAGTGCAACACCACTCCTGTGTTGGCTAAACCTTTCTGTAGGTCCTTTGCTGTCATGTGGGGGGTTTGCTTTGCCTTTCTGGTCAGTATATGATTAGTTCTATCTGATAGTTGCCTTTGTTGTCCAGATGACTTGCTAGAACTTTCATAGTTCTGTCTTTATAATATTTTGGATAGTGGAAATTGCAAGATGGAAGCACTTTGAAATCTTTTTATAGCCTTTCCTTGTTTTATAGGCATCAATTAGCTTCATTTTCAGATCCTTAGCCATCTGCCCAGAGAAGTCCATGGTTGCTGAATGTTAGCACAAGGTTTGAAGAGTCAGAGAATGTATTACTCTCTGAAAATGTCATCAGCTGGCAATTGTTTGACCTGCATGACCAGTCCTAATGAGTCTATTGAGGCCTAATGAGTTCATTGAGATCTGAGACATGTTCAAATGTGTGCACATACTGTAGTTATTATACTATATTTCAATTTTCCAGGGGTGTCCAAACCTTAACATACAACTCTAGAGGAATTGGATAAATGTCTTGTTCTGCATATGTGTTTGTATGCTTAGACGATTTTGTTCTGTTTCCAGGGGGACTCCCTAATCACTGAATGCATATATAACACCAAAGACAGGCGAAACATGACTTGGGTAAGATGGTTTGGCTTGTGTTGTGTTTGGCCGTGAATTAAATTAGATCAGCTCTGATTTGTAGTCCAATGATTTCTCATATCTGAAGAGCTCAAAAAGCGTTTCTCTCTCTCTCTCTCTCTCTCTCTCTCTCTCTCTCTCTCCCAGTCATTTTTCTTTCCTTTTGGTAATCAGCCATGCCTGTGAGCAAAAACAGAACAGAAATTCATACAATTATCTGCGATGAGTGGAGTCAATGATGAAAATTAAGTACAAATTGCAAAATGTCATCAAGCTAATCAGTGGCTAATTGGCTGAAATCCCAGTTCGTACTGTATCATCAGCATTGAAATGAGGTGAATTACATTGTGCAATATTTCATAAGCATGCATAAAGAACTGTTCTGTTTTCTGATTCATATGAAACTTTGCCTTATTCTAGACTTGAGTGCTATGTGATGAGAATAACCAAAAAAGATTTAGTGCATTAAGTTGCTAGTGAGCTAGAATGAGTTTGCAGAATGTGGCGGATTATAATGTAATACATTCTAATGGAGCTACAAGCTTGCATTAACCTGAGTCAGGCGGCCAAGGAGGTTAGACTGAGGGGGGTTCAGACCTGTGTGCTAAAGCCTGCTGGTTCTTGGCTGAACAGCACGTCTGCAAACAGCAGATGGATCAGGCCACTGGCACCGGCTAATACAGGCACATCAAAACGAGCTGCAGTGCAGAGAAACAGAGCGTAGACTCTGAGCGACTTTCCCTCTGGAGACGCTCCACCACTCATAAACAGCACGGCCAAAACACTGGGCCTGTATTCACAAAGATACTCAGTGCAGGAGGCTGATTCTGACATAGGATGCAGCTCGCGCCGTACAGCTGGCTGAGAGGAAACCTGATCCCAGATCAGCGTTCAGACTCTGTTGTTAATGCATGTTGTGCAACCACATCAGAGAGAAATTTGCTGTTTAGTGATTATTGATTAGCTCCATCAAGCTGGAAATGTAATGTGATACATTTGTAGCCCTAGCTGGTTTAGTTAAAATAGATTAAAAGAAGAGTCCAGCAATAAATGAAATATGCACAACATAATTAATGTTTCAGCTAATTAACTTTATTGTTTTTTGCATATATATATTATATTATATATATTATATATTATATTATGTGTGTGTGTGTGTGTGTGTGTGTGTGTGTGTGTGTGTGTATACTCAGTACCAGTAGGAGCACACCAGATATCATCAGAAGTCACACTGTTGTAACACATGCAGATGATTTTCATTTAAATTTTTTATTTGCATTGTACTTACTGTGCAAACCTTTTGGAATTGAGTTTGCTGTTAAGAAGGAATAGAGGTTTAAGTCTCTCCCCATACCCAGAGTATTATGTACTTAAGAGTTGTTATGTGGTTAAGTAATCTCAGGTGATGTGTCTACTGCAGGGCGGCTTGAGTACAAGAGATGAGATGTGCTTATCTTACCTACTGTACTACCCAAGAATTAACCTTGCCAGGTGCGAGAGCCTTCCAGAAATCACTGGCCAGCTCAAATTCATTGGAGTTAAACAAATCCAGAGCCCTCTTACGTAAGTACAACCCTTCTCTACTGCCTACATTAATGATATACTAACTTACAGCATCCTCTTTTTTTAAACATCTAGAGTACTGGGCAAAAGGCAAAGACAACCCTTCATTTATTTACTGTCCAGTCAAAGTACTGGCAATTAAGTACAGGGTATTAATTTTTCAACATCAGAAATAAAAGTAGAAAAATATTGTTGGAACAAAACACTGTATCTCCAAAATGGTAATTTTACAGGAAAAGAAAATGGCACTGTTAACTTTTAAAGGAAGTTCATGTAAAAGACATTTTCCAGGTAATTATGGGTAATTTCTATTTGTCCACTCTGGAATTTTCACACATTCTAAAACACAACTGCAGAAAAGAAAAAACAACCTACAAAAATAGAGAAACAAGGTTTTGTCATGAATATTACACAGAAGTCTCAACAACTTAATATATTACCGTTATACAACTACTACATTATACTGCTAAATAAAATACTCATTTTCCCTGCTTTGTTTTCCACTCTTTGCCTTTTTATACACCTTCTATTCCTTTCAGGAGACTTCCTTTCAGTTTCTCAAATAAATCTGCAGAGATATTTTTTCCACACCGCCAAAGTTCAGTCTTAAACGTTTGTTGCATTTTCTGCCTCTCATAATCCAAGTAATCCAAAATATATTTAATGACTTTACAATGATTTTATTCTTCTGAAAACACCAGTTCTTTTGTTTCATTTGCAACATTTCCTCTTTAAGTGCTGTTTATATGATGGGAACAGTTTTGGTGATCTACCATGTCTTGCATGGTTGTTAGGAGTTCCAATTTCTGTGCAGCTTTCACCATTTTCTGAAATTTGGAAACTGAAGTAACTTATTTTCCTCTTGTATTTTCTCCTACACTTCTAAAAAGATGGTTCTTCAAGGGTTATTTAGTGACAAAAATGGTTTTATATAGAACCGTGAATACTTAAAGAACAATTTGCATGATTAAAGATTTCTTTGCATTGTGAAAGTGTTCTTCAGATTGCAGAGTGCTGTAGATGGTTCTGTATAGAACCTTGTTGAAAAAGGCTCTGCTATTGTTATGATATCAAGCTTGTAACAACAGAACACTTTTTTGTGCTATATAAAGCCATTTTCAAAAAGATTCTACAAAGAACCATCTACAGCATTCTCCATCAATCTGAAGAACCTTTTCACAATGCAAAGAACCCTTTAATCATGTAAACAGTTCTTTGAGTGTTATTGGTTCTAAACAGAACAATTTTCTTTACTAAAGAACCATTTAAGGAACATCTTTCTTAAATGTGTATCTCCTAAAAAAATAATAAAATAGGTTGATAGAAAACCCTCAATAGACACTATGTTCCCCTTCAACAAGACCTTAGATACAAGATACAGAGAAAATTGGACTCCTAACAACTGTGCAACACCTGGTAGACCACCAAAACTGTCCCCATCAGATAAACAGTACTTCAAGCTTTCATCTTTGAGAAAGAAGAGAAGATCAAGCTCCACACTTGTTTCAGAAAAATTCCACAAAATCCACAACTCAATGCTGTGAGTGAGTCTTAAAGGATGTGTGGCTATCAAGAAGCCGTTACTGAGAAAAGGGAATAGACAGAAAAGAACATGTGCACTGGAACAGAGAAACAGAGTGTGGAATAAAGTTGTAATTGGGATTACTTAGATTGTGTCAAGCAAAAAATAAATACATAAATAAGTAATCAACTTGTCAAACTGAACTTTTGAAGTGTTTACAAGAAGCATGGAAAAATATCCCTCCAGCTTTCTTTGAAAAACTGAATGCAAGTGTCCAAAATGTAATAAATCTGCAATATAGACAAAAAGTGGCTGCACTAAACACTGAATAAATTGCCAAACAGTATGTAAAGCATACAATTTGTAAAAGTTTAGTTTTTAGAATGTACATTTTCTATGCCAATCAGATGCTAAAAACACATTCATAAAACATGTACAACTCTAACAGACCTGCACATAGTTTGGGAAGTACTAAAAAAGAAGAGACAGTAAGTATCTGGAGTCTTTCATTGTCAATGCTGCCTTTTGGCAGAACTACAACAACCTTCAAGCCCATACTAATTAGGATCTAATGCAGTGCTGGATACTTTGCATTGCAGTTCCAGTTTGCAAGTATTGTAATTTGGAGTGTGTCAGTTGTAGGGTCAGTTCCATTATGAAACTTTGCAGTTTGTTTGTACCACTAGAAAAGTAAACTTCACTTTTATTACTGTTAACTCTATGTGAGTGGCAGATTAACCCCTAACAAAAGCCAGGGCCTGTTGGCAGGCCTAAAGTCTAATTACATACTTCTATAACCTAAGAATAGCCCAACTAGTTGGCATTGAAGTCCCTCTAGTTACTGAATTATAAGCCTTAGTATGTAAAAAGCCTGGGATTTTATGGGGTTAATGAAGCTGCTGAGTTACTTTGTGAATAACATTATGAACTAGTATGATGAACAACCACAACACATTACAGAGCTTGTTATCAGCATTTTCCAGTTTGTACCAGCACAAAAGCTATTGCTTGCAAGGCTTCTTCATCACTGTCTAGAAAGAGAGGACAAACTGTTTGTCCAAGTGCCTGACACACATCTGGTCTAGTCGTGTAAAGTCTACTCGTGTCTGCTGCTAATAAACATCGAGAGCACAAAAGCAGACGTGAACAGTGAAGCCACAAGACTGCATCCGCCCAGTCCAGCCCATACTCATTATGATAAACAGGGCTGTCAGGGTAACTTTGAAGATGGATTCCAGTACTGATTACTGATTACTTGTCTAAGAATGTAATTTATAACCTAATCCAGAGAATCACTACAATAAAGTAATACAATCTTTTTAAAGTAAAATAATTACATAAAGTCAAGAGAAAAATGTTTGTAATAAATTAATTTTACTTTACAAGGCAAACAGGAAAACTGTACTATTTTATGCAGCTGAATGACTATAGGCAACTTAACATTCCAGGCTTATTACATACGAAGGCTTATGACTCAGTATCTACAGGGACTTCAGTGCAAACTGATGGAGCTTTTCCTAGGTTATAGTAGTGTATAAAACTTTGGGCATGCCAGCAAGCCTATGGCTTGGTAAGGGGTTCATGCCTTGTTGAATACCAATGTCAAAAGACCCCTCATTAACAATCAATAAAACTTTTAACTGCCCACCATTTGTGGTTAATATGCAGTGGTTCATAAGGTTTCATACTGATGTGTTGTGCTTTGACTTCAACGATTGCCATTTGCAATGTTATTTAAAGATGGTTTCTTAGCTTTCAGTGGTTTTGGGGGTCCACAGATGTCAATGTGTCCTAAGAGTTTTAAAAGACATTAATTTTCCACTGAAACTAAGTGAGAGTTGAGTCATAGTTACCAATAATGTGAATTTGCACAGTTTAAAATGTATGTACCCACTGTTCGAAAACTATTGAAGAATGAAGTTATACATGTGAAAATGATTACTCATAACTGTCTTTTTCTGTAAATGTAATGGAATCTTTTTATTCTCATTATGTAACTGTACTTAAATGGTCCCCTATAGATTATCTACTAATATTTTTGCCTTGAGGTTTGGCCTTCAGATTAGGGTTAGGGTTAGGTTTATGGTTAAGGACAAATTGAACAGAATCTTTCACACACAACCTCAAATTCAGTTGCATTTAATACATATTTAATAGTAATTTAATAGAAAGTCAGTGGAAAATGGACTGAGCATCTGCAAAGCATCTACAGTGGACTATTCCAAATAAAGTGTAACCTCCATTACTACCCAACCCTGATAATAAAGTATCATTCTATGCAATGGAAGCAGAGATGAGTAGCAACTAGTTACATTGACTCTGTTACAGGTACTTCAGTGCAGTTTTGCCATTTGTACTTTTCTGAATATGTTTTCAAATTGAAATATAGTTTATTCTATTGTTATTTACATGCCATCAACTAGTTTCCAACTCCTGGTGACCAGATGGATCATTTCTCCTGAATATCCTGTCTTGTGTTTAGGTCTTCAGGCTTCTGAATGGCTTATTCATGATTTCTCTGATTGAATCCACCCATACTGTAGTTGGTCATCCTCTTCCTCTTTTACCTTCAAGCACAATAGTCTTTTCCAAGGACCTGCTTCCTCTCAGAATATGTCCAAAGTAATATTCACTTTGATTATCAGGACTTTGAGTGAGGGGTGGGGCTTGATTTTAGATCAAGGATCCATTTGTTTGTTTCTTTGCCATTCAAGGTACTCTCAAAAGACTTCACCAACACCGAAATTCAAAGGCATCAGTATATAAGTCCATAAGGAACCACAGAGAAGACCATGGTCTGGGCAGTTGTGATCTTTGTCTGCAGAGACAAACTGCTGCATTTGAAGATCATTTCAAGCACCTTGTTACTTCTTCTCAAGTATATTTTGTGAAGAAAGTCATCCTTCTACTCAGTTACTCTGTAATCACAACAACAAGCAGAATAAATCAGCGTATCCGCAAGTTCAGTGAAGTGAGAGAGAGGGAAAGAGAGTAACCAGGGGGGTATCTTGGAAACTATGTTAACAAGCATGCATTTTTGATTATATGCCTTAGCATGTGTGCTTGTTTGCGTGTGAGGGAGCATGTGTGTGCATTGGATGGGTGTGAGGTGTGTTTGTTTGCATGTTGGTGGGGGTGGACTATGAAATGGGAACCATCTGATGGGCCCCACCAGTGTGTGTGTTTACTTTGCCTCCTGCTGCTCGAGCTGTTTTGTAGGAAAGAGGGGTATTTTCAAGACTTAGACAAGGCAACCCCACACAGGATCAGTTTCAGATGGTTGAAAAAGTCTGGAATCATTGTTTTTAAAAGTATTTAAAACTGTGCAAAAGTCAGAGATTATCATTTAATTTTCAGTATCAGGACAAAAATAGAAAACATAAATTTAACCAAAAATTACACAGAAGCCTCAACAACTAAGTATCATTCAAAAAAGTTCAGTATTTAGTTTGTCCACTCTTTATTTACAGCTTCCATTCTTTTCAAGAGGCTTATTTTCAGTTTGTCAAATAAATCTGCAGGTATATTTTTCTAGACTTCCAAAGAAAGAAATTAAAGGCTAAAATAAACACTGAAAACAAAACATGTAGCAAATGAAGCCAGGCAAAGACAAATTGAAGCATAACAGCTACTCATGCCAAAGACAAGAATAGAAACCACCTGGGAAAGGAAGCTAACAAACTACACATAGGTGGAAAAACTAATAATAAGGCGGGGATACATGGGAGGAGGCAGGGGAGGGCGGAGCCAGGAACAGGACACTGTGGCTGCATCCAGAAACTTTTGCAACTGCTCTTGTCCTCCTCCCTTCCTACTGTTCCTCTTCTACCCTGGAAAAACACAGAGGAATCGAGGAGAGTAAAGAAGCAGGAGGAATAGAGAGAATGAGTAGGAATTGGGACAACTGATTTCATTCAACATCATTAAATTTAATGTTGACTATTGGCGAAATAAATCAATCTAAATGTTCTCTTGAAATCACCCCTAAGCTGTTACTAAATTGTTAGTGTAAAAAGTGGTTCTAAACATTTGAACTGTAGTGTATCCCAAAAATCCCACTATTTCCTCAGTGTTTATACAGTCATACTCAACAGGAGCTCAACCAGAAGTAAGATCACTTTGAATTCTCTTCCGCCAGTGAACGTAATGAATTTAAGGCACTAAATCCAAACTTTCACCCATGTATTTGAATTACAGAGTGATTGGACGCAAGAGTAGAAGTACAATTGTTTGCTTAATTGAAATAAAATTGAATCCATTTGTGTCCTTTTTAGACTAACCTGCAGATTTATTACATCTACAATATTTGCTTGGTAGCCATATTTTCCATATTTGGCCCAACGTAAATTGACATTTCTATGTGCAGGACCTGGCCTTTTGTTATAAAGAGTCCAAAGAGATACAGCAATCTCTCTTTCACTGAAGCCATGGACAAGTTCCGATGGACCAAGAAGAGAGCAAAGGCCTTCAATGAAAGTCGTGCTGAATCTCCCTATGAATGTGCGCTGCTCCAAGATAGGCCTGGACGAGTGGGCGGTGAGTAGACAAGCAGGACAGGTGGGCCATATGGTTTACATCATGTCGAGCTCTACCTTTCTGTATCAACAAGTTCCTTTGTTGTAGACTTATTTTGTAGGTATCTCCAACCTCCAATAGATACAGTCTCCATCAGATACAGTCTCCAATAGATACTCTTTTACAAAGGTTTGGGCACCCCTGGTCAAATTAAAGGTTTTGTTGATTTTCTGTGAAAATAAGCATCATGCATCCCTCTGGCTCTGAAGCGTCCATGAACTCCATCTTCCAGAATCCTCTGGGGAATCACATGCCTGCTAACCCTCCACAATGCTCCAATCATCATTCACTCTCACCTGAATACTAATCTGGTTCACCTGTTCTTCTGGTCATGTGTCTAGCTAGAGTTAGCATAAAGCTTGTTAGTTTCTTTGCGAGGTGTTGCTTTTTCTTGTGAGAACTACTAAGCGGTTTTTCTGATTGCCCTTCTGTGTTTTTGACCAGCCTTGGATTCTTTGACTTTGTCTTTTTGATTTTGCCCTTTGGATGTGGTCGCCTGGTTTTGTTATGTTTGTCTTTCTTTGTATTTGGATCTCTCTGGATTTGACCACAGCCTGTTCATTCGAGTTTTGCCAAAGCCCCAAACACTAAGGCCTCATTTCTTGTTTTTTACTGAGAGTGTCTGACTGGTTTGGTTTCATTACAATAAGTTAAGACATTGTCTTTAGGGAACATATTTTGTTCATTTTTATTAGCAGTTACTGTTTATGTGCTATATTTAACCTATTTGAAAAAACAATGAAACATAAAAAGTGGCTTGTGCAAAAGTTATGGTGCATTTTTTATATGTTTTGTTTTTAAAAATTTCAGAAAAATGACAAATAATAGTATGTTCTCTATAGAAGATGTGTATTTATTTTCACTTAGAACATCAACAAACCATGACAATTTGAGCAGGGGTATTCAAACTTTAGCATATAACTGTATATTGGTTGGCCAATAATCCCGGACAATATTGAATTCATTGTTTTATCAAGATCAATGAAAGTATTGGCAATAATTACATACTTTTTTTGGTTGTCCATTGCCAGGATTTGAACCCACAATTTTTAATGATAGAGCTAAACCTTTAAGGGTTGTGCCACATAAGGCTTTACTTGTTTAATTATATGACAGTACATTGGACCATGATAAAAACAAACGTAAAGTAAGCATGAAAGTAAATTGTTATGTTGTTTTTATGATTTTGAGAACTAACGTAAAATTTTGCCTCTTTTCAGATTCAAGGCATGATTGTGTCTCCACCGAAACCCAAATCAGTGCGACCTCCTGCTGTTGCCACATGCATGAATGGCTCTGAATGTCAGTGGCATTGTACAATCTCTTATATCCTCATCACAGCTCTTATGGTACTACTGCAGTTTAACTCACAGCTCTAACTTCCACGCATACCACTCTTACCCAAAGCTCAACAAAGATCTGTTCTTCCTCCCAGCATAAACTCTGCAACACTCTCTTCACTTTTTGACACTTCTTCAGAAGCAAATTCAATTCTCCAGAGTAAACTTTGTCACTATGTGCGCGAACACACTGACTGATTCACCCAAATTTAACAAGACGCCATATGAGTCACCCTAGTTGCACTCCTCCCTTTTTAACAAAGAGCCATTTCTATGTTTCAATTGCACTACAAAGCATCGTTTGATTTATCACTAATGCCTCCATGTCGCTGGAAGCTCACAAAGACTGCAGCTGTATCTCAACAGAGCTTTTTCATTCTTGTACTCCATCCTGAATGAAGTAAGTAGAGAGCGTAAGTGTACTTAGCCACAGCACCATTTGGGATTTGACTATATTAGTTTCACAGCTAACCCTGAATACATTCACAGATGATAGTTCGCTGTTTTTAGCGACTTCTCACTCTGGCATGAATTGCAGGAGAAAACTTTCCCTCAGTGGAAGGGTTACTGAAGAGGTAAAAGTGGTCTAGTTTCCTATATTATTAAAAACACCATCTAAAATTTTCTAGTGAGAAATGTTTGGGCCCGCATGATCATCCTTGAGCAGTGTACTCTGCACTCATCATGTGTCTAACAAACAAAGTAAAAAAAACACAAGGTTGTTATTTATGATCTAATAAATTTGGAGGCGCATGTTGAAAGCCACTGTAAAGAATTCAAACAACCAGAGGTACAGTAACAAATGTCAGATACTCTCAGTTAGTCTTAAAGGGGACTTTACTGCTGACTTTTCCATATTTCTGCATAATTCAGTTGGTAAGATGTAAACCAAGTCATTCAGAGTGATTTCATGTGAAATGCCCGATTCTAGAGAAACTTGCAGAAGGAGAACTGTTCACAACAGTGGTGATGAGGGGAACCAGATGTCTGAAGAGCTTAATGCCTCTAAAAGCTAAATCCAAAAAGTTGAAATAGTTATGAATATGCTGCCTGATGCCTAAGACATTGTTTTGCAATAGTTTGATGAAAGAATAATTTGGCCTGGAATGTATTTTTCAAAACCCATATTGCAGAGAGGTACCTGTAGGATTCAACACTTTCTATGAATGTCACCTTTGTAAGCATCTATAAACACATTCATAACATGTTATAATGCATTCATAAGACATTATAAACATAGCTATAAATATTTATAAAAATGCATTATATGTTATAGCCATTTTTATTATGCATTATGAATTGTTAACATAATACATTATAAGTACTGATCATAACAAATTATAAGAGCTCATAAGCCGTATTTGTCCGCTCTAAGTAAAGTGAAGCGTACTGTAATAAAGCCTCCTCCAGTGTTCAGAGTGAGGCTTCAAGTTGAAGTATTTGCTGAAGGATTTACTGAAACACTAAAACATACACAGTAAAGCACATTACAGGCTTCAAATGTCAGAGTTTAAACTAGTGCTGCCATCAGTGTTTTACCCAATGTGGGAAAGGTAATGTACACCACCGTTAGCTTGGTATTTGTCTTTACTTTACGTTCTCCAAGCTGGGACTGACTTCTTTGGCACTGACAGTATGACATGTTATCAACACTATTTATAATGCATTATATTAACAATTCATAATGTATAATAAACATGGCTATAAAGTGTAATTCAGTGTAATTCTTTTTTATAAATATTTATAACCATGTTTATAATGCCTTATGAATACTTTATAACATGTTATAAATGTGTTTATAGATGCTTACAAATGTGACATTCATAGAAAGTGTTACCGGATTTAGATTTATTAAAATTTTATTACTATCAAAATTACACATAAAAACTCTGGTGGTAGGTCTGGTGGTCATTTTGGACATTTAAAAAAGGCTATTTTGCATTGTTTTTCTATCACCAGCACTGTAAGGAACTGAAAAACTTTATTTAATGTCTGCTTCTTAGGAACTCATTAACAATTAGCAAGCACTTAATGATGCCCTTGTAAACAGAAATGCAAAATTTGTGAGCAAGCTTAGAAATGTGTTATACATGTGCTTATATATTGTTTAAATAGGGCCTCTCTAATAAGAATGAACTATTTGTTGACTAATGAGTAAAATGTTAATTAATTGTATTCTTTCAATTGAAATTATATTAATGAAGAAGTATGAACGAGAAATAATGTTCTGAATTTACAGTGACCAAACAGGGTAGTAAATTGCTGCTGCTTGAATACTAATTTTACAGTAGCATGCAAAATGATTTACAATATAGTGGTGGACAATATGGCAAAAATATAAAATTGTGATACACAATATGTCACTATGCTTATTTTTTCAGACATCTAAACAGTTGGAACTGGGAAAAAAGAAGAAGTATTGTTACATTATAAAAAAAGTATTACCAATAACTGTGAATATAATGATTTTATTAAATATTTGGCAATACTTTGTTGCACTAAATCCAGTTAAACAGGACTAATTTTGCTCTACCACTAACGAAACATGCAGTTAGTTAGTGTTCTACAAGTACTGATGATATCCACAATATGTTCAGAAAAACATATTGTTTTGTATTGTGACATAATTTATCATGAAAATGATAAGAATTGTCATATTGCCCTGCCCTATTACAATAACAAGGTTTTCTTAAATTACGGTGTTTCATTGTATTTTGCTGTAAAGGCTGGGAGCTAATATAGCATGGAGATATTATTTGTCAGTACTTAGTAGGCAGTGGCTATTCAAAATAAACAACTTCAAATTCATTAATGAAGATTTTTTCAAAAACGATCTTTTGCCTCATTGTTTTTATAAAGCCCCCCCATCATTCCCGTACCCCAGTTCTGCTCTAAAATTACCCATGCCACACCAAACCACTCTGAATGACTTTGCTTACATGTCAATGACCAGGCTATTTATAGATTTATTAGACAGAAAAATCAGTGGAATTCTCTTTCAATATCATGTCTGAGAGTATCTCTTAACAAGATTCTAACATTATATTCCAAAGAACCATGACTAGTGTCTTAAACCCTGAATCATGATCTTCTGCTTTCTACAAAGACTCACATATCTGAAGCTAGGCACAAAGTTGGGACTTCCCATGAAATCCTAAATGTGTTTCTTATAAAAGAAATGCTGGCATTCTATCAAAAAATATGTAACTTTTTTATATTTTGTGTGATTATGACTCAATAAATGTTTATTTCTTAAACTGTTTTGTTTTCTTATGTGGAAATGTGTCATAGGTCAGGCTATACAGTCAGACTGTTTTATGACGTTTTGAAAAAGAGCACTTGTAGTAATAGCTTTACCACTTCAATCACTTCTTCATTCTGATCTTGTTCCATCTCTTTAATGCACATACAGATATGTATCGCATTAGTAGGACTGTTTATTTTCAGCCTTTTTGCTGGCATTAGTGCAGAATGAAATGTTTAACCCGTTTTTAATAGTAGCCATAAAGTTTGGAGGTCTCTTAGTTGATGGAATATATTTTGATGGAATGTGTATAACTTACAAAACTTTTTTTCTTTTTGTATGTGAGCAAGTGAAAGTTTATAAAAGTATTTCACTGTGTTTAACTGCTGTTGTTTATTGTGGGTTGTACATGCTTTTTCGATATCAGGACAGCTGTAGTCCCCAATAGGTAATAGCAGAGGGTGAGGACCGTCCATTTGATGGCCAGACATTCTTTTTCAATGGTGCTGTACTTAGTCTCCTGAGGCGATAATTTCCGACTAATGTACAGCATGGGGGCAATCCTCCCCCTCCATCAACAGGGACAAAATGGCCCCCAGCCCTCTGTCTGGCACATCAGTCTGCAAGACAAAAAGGAGAGCAAAGTCAGGCGAATGCAGCAGCGGGAACCCACAGAGACCTGCTTTAACATGGTTCACAGCCTGTTGGCACTGCTCCATCCACTGGACCGGATCTGGTGCTCCCTTTTTAGTGAGATCAGTCAGCGGGCTGGTGATGACCTCCTCTTTGGTCTTGGGTCTCGGACAGGTCGCAATTGCCAACATCTTATCAATTTGGGGACGCACCTGTCTGTGACCCAAGTGGAAGCCCAGATACTGTACCTCCATCTGTCCAATCGCACACTTCTTTGAGTTGGCCATGGGCCCCGCCCATCTCAGCGATCTCAGAAAAGCCCTCAAATGTTGCACATGCTGCTGCCAATCATTGCTGCATATGATAATGTCCTCTAAATAGACAGTTTTGCTCTCAGATCAAGAATGTACTGGATTTCTCTTTTGCTGTTTGAAGGTCCCTCCTCCCAGTACTCTTTAATGATGTCTAGGATGCCCCTGGGTCTCCTCCCATGCAATAATTCAAAAGGAGAAAACCCAGAGGAGCCACCTTCTCTGGGCCTAAAATGGACTGAGGTGAAGTGGAAAAGTGTTCTGTGGTCTGACGAATCAACATTTGAATTTTTTTTCTGGAAATCATGGACACTGTGTCCTCCGGGCTAAAGACCACTCAGCTTGTTATCAGCATACAGTTCAAATGCCTGTATTCATGATGGTATAAGGGAACATTAGTGCACATGGCATGGGTGACGTGCACATCTGTGAAGGCACCATTAATGCTGAACAATAAATACATGTTTTGGCAATGTGTGCTGCCATCCAGATGACATCTTTTTCAGGGAAAGCCTTGCTTATTTCGACAAGACAATACCAAACCACATTCTGCATGTATTACAACAGCATTGCTCTGTATTAAAAGAGTCCAGGTGCCAAACTGACCTGCCTAACTTTTTTGGGATGTGTTGTTGGCATCAAATTCTAAATGGGTAAATATTTTTCAAAAAACAATACACTTTCTTAGTTTCAACATTTGATTTGTTGTCTTTGTAATATTTTCCTTTTAAAATATGGTTTACATGATTTGCACATCATTGCATCCTATTTTTATTTACATTCTGCACAGCATCCCAATTTTTTTTGGAAATGGGGTTGTAATTCCCACAGCATTAATCATTTTACAGTGGCTAACAGCCAAATCATTCATGATGTGAGAGTATGACGTCTGTAAAAATGACTGACATGGCAAGTATGGAGGTGACGCTGATAGTTTCCCATCTTTCCATGTTATCCTTTGTGAATAGCACTAAAATAAACTCATGAATAGCTCAGATCAGTTAATCCTTTGATTATCTAGCTGATCTATAAGTATTCTTAGCAAGCAAAATCGGTTTTCAGAGGTGTTACAGACTTCTCCATGGGTTAACATTCAAGACGACACATTAACACAGCCCTCTGAAAAGGTGATTAGGTTTTTCGACTGACGGTTTATGGTGATGTGATTATGCTGGAGGCTCAGGGCAGTTTTATGTAAGTCCACTGTTAGCGCCTGGGCGTCCCTGGTACAGCGCGGATCGCCTCGCGCCAAGGCCTCCAGGTCCCCCGTGCTCCCTCGC